CATCGCATCCGGCTAGTTCCACCTCCTCCCGGCCCCAATCTCGAATGTCGCCCTGACGTCCCCCTGGCGGTCTGCCAAGCCTCCAAGATGCTGAAGACAGCCCGAGGAAACATCTCACGATGCCTAAGTGGCCTCCAAGAGAGGTTCCAGACAGCCAAAATCCCAGAGAAACCATGGCTCGTATGCGTGCTGTCCCACAATTTGCATGGCGCCTCCGGAAAGCTTAAGAGGACCCCAAGATGGCCCCAGCCAAAGCTGCCCAACAGCTACCCAAGGGTGGTCAAGATGGCATCTAGAAGCTCCACGAGAAGATCTGTGGCCATGAGGGGGGGGCCAAAACGGCCCAAGAGGCTGCTAAGGCAGGCCAGGAGAACACCCAGAGACCATAACGTCTCAAGACAGCCCAATGGGGCCTCACGTGGCCCCCAACACACGCTCAGAGATTCCCCACAAGCCCACCCAAGAAGGTCATCAGAGGGTAACGAGACGCCCCGAAACTGTTTTCGCGATGGTTCTCCACATCCACCCTCCCCTGCACGAAAAAGGCATCGTCTTGCATATTATGGCCTTCTCTCTGCGGAGGAGCGAATTGCTAAAAATTGCCATTATTGGATCTGGGGAAGAGAGGCGTCCCTGGATCTTCAATAAGAATGGTAGTAATGTTCCAGCCTTCTCGAGCGCGCGGAAGAGCGTGTCACATGATACGCGCTCCAAGACCATCACATGCGTCGCCCTCCCAGAACCAATGGACGACATTTGTCGGCGTCGCACTTCTTGGCGTCTCTTGACGGGTCGCCACAAAAAAAGCTCCGCAAGCACGGTGGCGGAACCTGTTCCGGCGACCTGGACTGTCAAAACATTTGTTCAACTTCGCCAGCACTCAGATCCACCTGTGGCTTGGGAGGGCCTGGCGCTGCGGTAATCGTGCGCAGATGGCTGCTCTCGTCACGGTTCCACCGAAATGTGCAGACACAAACATGGAGCCCGCTCTCCGCAAAGGGGCTCTCGATCCACGATCCGCGTCGGAGACAGAGCCGGTCGGCATCATTTACGGGGGGGACGTGACCTGACAGCATACCCGAGCCCGGACGGCCTCAAACCAGGATCGATGTACAGCCAACCCGCATAGAAAGGATGGGCAACCTTCCCAAGGGTACCCTTGCATCCTTACCTCCTCGGTCCATCCTGCGCCACTTTCGTTGGCCGCGCCCCGCTCGAAAAGCTTCGAAGTGAGCGTCCCAGGCCCTTGCACCATCATCGCGCATCCTTACCACACGGGTTCACTGTACACGCCCTCCTGGCTTGACCAGGGGGACGCACGTAAACCGATCCTGTGCCCAGGATCGGCCCGCCAGGTGTCGATGAGGTGATCGTGCGGCGTCCCTCGAGCGTGCGAGCCCCCCCTCGGCTTCATCCGGAGTAGCTCGCGGCCACGTACATCAGGGAGCACCTCGGCGGCGCAAGACCCCGTCGGTAGGATGGCACGCCTGACTTCCGCACGAGGGGGGCTAACAGACGCGACAGGATCCTGACATCGCCGAGGCTATATGAGACACATTGAGAAATGCCCGAAGGTCGTCTCCAAGAAGGCCCTAGACGACCAAGACGCACCCAGAAGCCACAAAGGACCTTCTCTACAAGGCGGACTCGGAGGAACAGGAGTGGAAGGAACTAGCGGTCTGCAACCCGCCCTGCCTCTCTGAATCGTCGTGGGGGTGGTCCTTTGAGTGCTCCGTGTATCTTGGAACTGCCATTGAAGGGCTCGGAGATCCCAGGAAGCGCTTGGCTCGGATGGCCACCTCTGGCTCTGAAAATCACCACGAAGAGGCAGAGAAGGAACACAGTATGAGCACCCTGGGCTCATGAGACAGATGGAAGCGTGGCGGCGGGTTCTTCGGGAAGACCCAGCGGGCTCTTCTTTGGGGCAGCAGTATTTATGAGACTTTAGAAAAGATCTGGGATGCCACGGGCGCGGACAAGAGAGGCAGGTTGTCATCGCTGAGCGATCTGAGAAAGCGTCAGACAGGTTGAGCGCCCTAGGCACGTGAGACAGATGGAAGCGTTGATGAGGAGCACGGTGTTCAAGCTGGTGGCCCGAATCACCTTCGTCCACACCCTGACGGGCGCCCGTGACGCGCAGACGGCAATCAAGCAATTGGCTGAAACTCGACGCCCGCCTCCCCTGCACGGAAGATCAAGCCACACCAAGCATCCGTGTACCCGGCAAGGACCGCGCGGCGAATGCAGCGGCTGTGTCTCATTATGAAGCCTTCGCGCCCAGAACAAGTCCCTGGAGGCCGAGCCAGAGGGAAGACGCCGAGATGTGGGACAAAACTTGGGTATGAGACCTCCTCCAAGTCGCCCTCCCCCCTCATGCCAGGACCTGGTCAGACGAAAGCGGGGAGCAGCTGATTTCCCTGGCGCTTCCCAGCGCCGTCGCAGGCGCCCCTGGCATCGAAGAAGGCGCTCGGCGGCGGGGTCCGAACCAGCTGCGCACCGCAGGTCCCTTAGACCCCCACGCCCAACCGCCCCCCCCAGGCGTCCGATACGACGGGAGGGAGATCCGTAACTGCCCCCCGCGCTGCATAACGTCCGGCGGTACGGCGCATCCCTTCTTCCATTTACAGGCGCTCTGTCCCAGGGCTGAACAAGCATGCGCACGGGCTGTGGGGACCAACGAGGAGGAGTGAGGACTACACTCGGCCAGGCCCGGCTGAATACAAGTGGTCGTTCCAGGCAGGTGTGCTTCTCCTCCTCCTGCTCCTTCTGCTCCTTCTGCTCTTCCTCCTCCTCCTCCTCCTCCTCCTCCTTGTCCTGCTCCTCCTCCTCCTCCCCGCCTTCTTCCTCCCCCCCGTCCTTCATCCCAATCCTTCTCAGTCCTTCTGTCCTCCTCCTCCTCCTCCTCCTCTTCCTCCTCCTCCTCCCTTACCTCCCAGAGAAGGGTGGCAGGGGAAGGTGAAGCGCAGCACGCGGCAAACCGGAGGCAAAGCAGGAGCCGTGCAGGAGAGGACGACTCCACACTGGCGCACGCAGATGTCGAGCGTCAGCGTAGGCTGCGAGAGTGAAAAGTCCAGGTCAAGATTGCGAGGGCGGGGGAAAAAGGAAGGAAAAAAGCAGGGTGAGCTCGCCCTCGTCCTTTTTCAACTGAATAGTTTTTTGGCACTCGAGTTGCTTCACCCCCGTGTCTTGTCTTTTCGCCCCAGCAGGGTGCAACTGGCGAAAGTGCATGACTAGTACACCCCCATCCCTGATGGCTTTGGTGGCAGCAAGACCCATGTCGTCGATATCGCTGGAGCTGCTGCCTTTGGTGCAAGAACTGCACCAACAGTTGCACCAGCAGACGCTGCATCCTGGCCGTCGCGAGGGTAGTTCAGGTCGTCTCGCTGATCGGAGTACCGGCCTAGCTGGTGCGCATGTGTGCTTGAGCAGCTGTCTTCGGTGCTGCCTTCTAATTTGGTGACCTCCCGGTGTTGCTGTGCTGCTGCTCCTCCCTCCTCCCCCGGAGTCATGTCGAAGGCGTTGCAAGAGGCGTTGCTTTGTCGGGACGCGGCGTACTAGCCTCACCAACAAGTAAAATGTTGCTCTCGCCTTGGCGCCGGTTTACTCGGCCGCCAAGCTGATCGCAAGTGAAGCCGCGCGCGAGAAAACAACCAGTTGCTCTCGCGTTGGCGCGGCACCTGCTTACGCCCGCAAGGGACAATGAACATCTGCACGCCCAGGGGCGGCGCGGCATGCGCGCACATGCGCGGTGAACCCCACGTTCACCTCGCATGCGAGCTCATGATTCAGGGAAGCCGCGTCTTGTCGACGTCGCCATGCAGCGTGCACCCCTGCGCGGGTGTCGTACAACCTTGCCTGCGCGTCGCAGCTCGCGCGCCGAGGTGAGTTCAGGACTTTTTGGGACGGCAACCGTCCTGCCTTCCCCGCTCGGATCACCGCCAGAATCTCTGCAGCTTCGCAGAACGGGTTGTGTCGACGATGACTCTAATTCGACAAATCGGGTTGGAGCGGGCAATGCCGGCTGTTTCGCTAGCGACGGTCACCTCAATGTCTACTCTAAGATCTACCCTTACTTCTCAATCGTACATGCTCACACTCACTCGCTTTCACCCTCATAAGGCATCCCAGCGTGCGGTTCCGCATTCTGGTCGCCGACGCGGGCGCGGCGCACATCGCGCGCAGAAGGGCAAAATGCCGCTGTCGCCCAAGGGCCGTGCTGAGCTCTCTTGAAAATTGAGCTCCACCAAAGACAAGGCGCATGCTTTTAACTCGCCGAACGCACGGCACTGGGGCCGCGACTGGTAGAACGAATAGTCGTTGTCGCCGAAGCGCTACTCAATGTGTTCACAAAACAGATGTTCCCGCTTTGGGGCGTCGCATGCCTTTCGATCGACAATCCTGTTGGAAATTGGGCCGCGCGCCAGCGAGCGGAACGGCGCTACCGTCTCAGATAAAAGGCTTCGCTTTTGGGGGGTCCCGCATGTATCCATGTCCGCCGCATGCCGAGGTCCCCGAAGGGCGATCCCCCAGGCGGCGGTGATGGATACATCGCAGCCTCGGAGCGAAGCCAAGCCTGGCCCGCCTAGCTGTGTTCCCGCTTACGAGGAACCATGCGTTTCCTTCGTGAAGTCGTCGACAACGGGGCCGCGCGCGCGAGCACCTTCACTTCGCCAGGAGGGAGCGCGCGCCAGCCTCAATTCGGGTGTCGCTAGAAGTGCCCCTGGCGCTAGATGCCCCCAGGATTTCCAGGGAGGCCCCCACGGCATCCAGGGCACCCCTCATGAGACCCAGAGGGCCCGAGGGACTCCAACATTGAACGAAAAGCTGGGGGCCCCTTGGGGCAGAGGCACCTCTAGCAACCCCCGACCCAATGTCCACTTGCGCCGGAATTGATTCTCGTCCTGCGAGGCAGGGCGGGAGCGGTTGGGGCCGGCTGACTTGTTCGAGCTGGCAAGCTTGACTGTTACTCCTCGGCTTACTGCTAAGGGCGTTGCCACTGCCACTGCTTCTGCTACTGCTAGTGCTACCGATGCTGCTAATGCTACTGTTACGGCTGTTGGTACTCCTCCTGCCAATCCTCCTCTTTCTGTCTCTCTTACTCTCTCTACTCCAAACTATCCGTCTCTGACCCTGGTGCAGGAAGGCAGGCAGCCAAGGGCCCGATATATGATCGCGGGCTCAGGGCCCAAGGGCCCCGCACCCACCCCCCCAGATGGGATGGGTCCCAGGGTCCTCGGCCACCCCCCCAGATGGGATGGGGGGAGGAGGAGGAGGAGGAGGAGGAGGAGGAGGAGGAGGGCGATGACGACGACGACGACGACGACGACGACGACGACGACGACGGCGACACCGACAACGACGACGACGACGACAACGACGACGACGTCGACAGCACCACCAGCGGCGGCGGCGACGTCGAGCACTGGAGCTGTCAACATGACGCCAATCCCAGCCACACGCCGCACCCACACCGCACCCACAGGGGGGGAGGGAAGGGGTGGAGGAGGACCATGGCGTCACACCGCACACACCCACAGCAACACACCACACCCACACCACATCCACAGAGAGGGGGGGGAGCCACCACGCCACGCCCACGCCCACCGGGGGGGGGGGCATCGCGCGGGGGGGGGGGGGGGGCCCGATGGCATTAGCATTGGGGGGGGGGGGGGCCAAACCCTCGACCATGTATCCCCAACGGTGCGGGGAAGGGTCCCTGAAATTGCGAGCGGGTGCGGGCAAAATCAGAAAAGTTCCCCCCAACCGTGGACGCGGGGTGGGTGCCCCGCCAATCAGCCCCAGCTGGACCAAATCGATCGTATGATTTTGATGTTGTCTCAACAAAGGGCGGACGGGGCACAGTGAAACTCGGGGCCTGGCTGCAAAAGGCGTGATCAAGGAGCTGACACCGACAACGAAGCCGAAGTACACAGTGCTGGGCTCCCCCAGTGAGGCGGCATACCTGGGAAAACAAGGAGGGAGGAGACAAAGCGCAGAGAAATGGCAATGATACAGACACCGATAGCGCTTTGTGTACTCCCGATCTCAATGACTGTGTTGATGGCGACGCGTTTCGGACTCTCGGCGACTGCGGTATTCGAACGCGCGTGCCAAAGACCGACTGCGATATTCGCACGCACCGCGTGACGTGTAGCGCGCGAACAAGGCAGCAAGAGGTCAAGAATTCGCCGGCCCAACGGGCCAGGGCGTGCTAAGATCTCCGGTAACTGGTTAACAGTATTAACAGTATTTCTAGTTCGCGCGCGCGGGGCGGCCCCTGGGGGTCCCCCGGCGAAAAGTACCCCGACCAACGCCCGGTCGCCGCCCGGTCGCCGCCCGACCGCCGCCCGACCAAGTCTACTCAGAGATGGTTTTCCTTCTGGGTGCGGCCTCTCAGGCTCCCCAGAGCGCGCTCAGAGTGCCCCAAGAGGCCCCCAAGACTGCCCAAGAGGCCCCCGAGACGCCCAAAGAGCGCTCGAAGACGCCGAAGATGACCCCAAGACGGCCCAAAAGGCCCCCAAGACAGCCCAAGAGGCCTCCAAGACGCCCCAAGAGCCTTCCAAGAGGCCTCCGAAGAGAGCCCCAAGAGGCCAAAATCGTTGATTTTCATTGGTTTTTTCGATGTTTTTTGTGTTCTGGCTTTTTCGGCTTCCGGACGCTCCAAGACGGCCCAAGAGGCCCCCAAGACCGCTCCAAGACGGCCCACGAAGCTCCCAAGACGGCGCCGAAACGACCCAAGAGAGCCCTCAAGACGGCCCAAGTGCCGCCCAAGACGGACCAAGAGGCCCCAAGACGGGCCCAAGAGGGACTCAGGAGGGATACCGAGAACTCAAAAATGGAGCCCTCCGTCCCAGAAGGCGCCCAGGAGGTCCCAAAGAGGCCCCAAGAGGCCTCCAAGAGGCCCCAAGATGTCGCCAAGAGGCCCCAGGAGACTCCCAGGAGGCCCAAAAGAAGCCCCAGAAGGCTTCAAACATGTCTCCCAGGCGCCCCCGAACGGCCTCTCAACAGACCCCAAGAGGCCCCCCAAAGAAGCATCTTGACGACGACTCTATTTCGCCCCATCGAGAGACGACCCCCAGGGAACTGCTTCACCATCAAAACTCCCCACGCAACGCGTCCGAACGACACCCGCCCCCAAGAGCGCAACATGGGCAACGAACACACAGACAAAAACCAACGATGCCATATCACGGGCCGGCGGAATGAGCGAAGCGATTCAATAAGAGGATGAAAAAGGTCGAAAGCTCTCAAAAGGCCCGCCTGCGGTTTAGGAATAGAACAATTCCTCGATCATGGGACACTCCCGTGGACCAGCGTCGTTTCATCCCGAGTCAGGAAGCCGAAAACCTCCGGATACCTGTTCCTCAGGACCCCCTGTCTTGAGCGAAAGGGGTGAGGGCCACCCTGCCGCTGTGGGGATGACGACAACCAGCGAGACGATGTAGTTGACCTGGGCCAACATCACGACGCACAGGGAGGGCAGACTGTGATAATGACCGCCTCGCGCGAGGGGGGCCGGATCCTCCTGACCTCCGCCGATCCGAAAGCAGGCACGAAGGAGAAGGGGAGGGGGAGGTGGTAAGGCAAAAGCTAGAACTGGGGCAAAAATTAGACTGGAACCAGTCGGGGATCTCTGACATCCCGTCTTCTGGGGGATGCATCGGGCGCCGCGGCCGTTCCAGAGCGCTCGAACGAATTATCCCAATCATAGCCCCGCCCAAAGGTGTGAGAGAGAAATCAAGGCCCAAGGCTTCAGGATCGAATACAAGACGTGCCTGGTCATTTCTGGGAATCCGGATGCACTTGGGGCCTCTGGAGACTCCGAGGAAACAGCTGGAAACCTCCACGGGCGGAGGACGACGAGGAGAGCCCCGCGCCTGCGATAGACTGGGCGCGCCCGCCAGGGTAATCCGTCCATATGGACCCTGCAAAGCCCTGAAAAAAAATTGCGCCCTGGCCAGGAGCCAAATCCGCTGCTCCCGTAAAACCGAGCCATCAGCCCGAATGTCCAAATCTACCTCCCGAGGCTCCCAAAACAAGCAAGACCTACGGGCCGAAAGACCCCGTCCGAATTGCTGACGTCCCCCATTGGGATTTCGGGTTCAGAGAATGTGAAGAGGACGCAGCAGAAGCCCGAGCTGAAAGCGTGCTCCGGAAAATGGACAATGGACGGGCTAAGACGGGTACACTATTGCTTCACATGTTCGGCATGAGTGGTGGCGCATCGACAGAGGCCCTTTGCCGAAAAGATGCATTGTTGAGCGCGCGCGGACCAGTCGTTTGCTCTTCTCACACGTAAGAGCACGGAGAACTCGTCAGCAGCGCAGCATCCCACCCCCCCCGCGCCCCAGGCCCCCTCACCCATTCCCCCTCCTCTTTTTGACTTTTCCTCATTTTCCCCCCGCGCCATCATCCCTCCCCACCACCCCTCCCCCATAGTAGTAGTCGTAGTAGTAGTAATAGTAGTAGTAGTAGTAGTAGTAGTAGTAGTAGTAGTAGTAGTAGTAGTAGTAGTAGTCGTAGTAGTAGTAGTCGTAGTCGTAGTCGTGGTCGTAGTCGTAGTAGTAGAAGTAGTACTAGTAGTAGTAATAATAATAGTAGCAGTAGTAGCAGTAGCAGTAGTAATAGTAGTAGTGGTGGTAGTGGTAGCAGTCACAGTAGTAGTAAGAGTAGTAGTACTAGTCGTAAACATAGTAGTAGTGGGGGTAGTAGTAGTAGTAGTAGTAGTAGTAGTAGTAGTAGTAGTAGTAATAGTCGTCGTAGTCGTAGTCGTAGTCGTAGTAGTAGCCGTAGTAGTAGTATAAATAATAATAGTAGTAGTAGTCGTAATAATCGGCGTCGTCGTAGTAGTAGTAGTAGTAGTAGTAGTAACAAAAAATAGTAGTAGTGGTGGTGGTAGGAGTAGTACTCGTAGTAGTAGTAGTAATAGTCGTCGTAGTAGCAGTAGTAGTAGTAGTAGTAGTAGTAGTAGTAGTAGTAGTAACAGTGGTGGTCGTAGTAGTAATAGTCGTAGTAGTAGTAGTAGTAGTAGTAGTAGTAGTAGTAGTAGTAGTAGTAGTAGTATCAGTGGTCGTAGTAGTAGTGGTAATAATAGTAGTAGTAGTAGTAGTAGTAGTAGTAGTAGTAGTCGTAGTATTAGTAGTAGAAGAAGTGGTAGTAGTCGTAGCAGCAATAGAAGTGACAGTCGTAGTAATAGTGCTAGTAGTCGTAGTAGTAGTAGTAGTAGTAGTAGTAGTAGTAGTAGTAGTGGTAGTAGCACTAGTAGTAGTAGTCGTAGTATCAGTAGCAGTAGTAGTGGTAGTAGTAGTAGTAGTAGTAGTAGTAGTAGTAGTAGTAGTAGTAGTAGTAGTCGCAATAGTCGTAGTAGTCGTAGTAGTAGAAGTCTACCACGACTACCACTACTACTGCTACTACTACGACGACTACTACTACCACTACTACTAGCATGACTACTAGTAAGGCCGCTACTACAAATATTACTACCACGACTACTACTTCTACTACTGCTACCACGACTGCTACGACTACTACGACCGCCGCGGCGACTACTACGCTACGTCCACTACGACTACTACAACTACTACTACTACTACTACTACCACTACTACTACTACTACGACGACGACTACTGCGACTACGACTACGACTACGACTACGACTACTACTACTACTACTACTACTACTACGACTACTACTACTACTACTACTACTACTACTACTACTACTATCACCACCACCACCACTACTACCACGACTACTACTACTACGACTACTACTACTACTACCACTGCCACCACTATCGCTACTAGTATTACTACTACTACTACCACTATTACTACTACTTCGACTACTACTGCGACTACTACTACTACTACTACTACTACTACTAGTCCTACTACTAGTCCTACTATTACTATTACTACAAATACAACTACTACCAATAATCTGATGATAACTACATGTAGTAGCACCGCTACTACTACTACTACTACTATTACTA